TGATACTGGGATTGCAGGCATATGCCACCATGCCCAACTATGAAAAGACAGCTTTAGAGTAATGGTTATATAAGACTCAAAATATGATTTTATTTGTAAGTTTTAGAAATTTAAAATTTTCCTGAATTAAGCAGGTATTTAGCGCTGCTGTGTGTCAGGTGTTCTGTCCTATGTGCACTGAAAGTCTCAAGCAAGACCAGGTGCAGAGACATGGCAGTGTGGAAAGGGGGCAGAAGAGGTGATCGTCCTAAAAACAGCACTGATGATACAGTGCGGTGTCCCATTTATTTGGGGTTTTTTATTAAGAAAATGATTTTTTGTATTTTGTGTTTTATATAGCAAGATACATTAAAAAATACCAGTAGTGGAGTTTAGTATGTAATAGAGTGGGTGTCTGTGACAGCACAGAAGAATAATGAGCTCTGCCCCGAGGAATTAGGTAGAGCTACTTAGAGAGTGGAGGCATTCCCAGCCAGAGAAGCACACACATCGAAGACATAAATATGTGTTGTGTTTCAGAAACAGTGAGTGGTACCAAATGATAGAATCCTGCAGTACCTGGCAGGGAATGTATTGCAGGTAAATCTAGAAGATAAATTTAAGGCTAGATCAGCCATGGGATTTATGCCAAGTTGAAAAGTCTGGGCTCTTTAAAAAAAAAAAAAAGGAGAACTGGAAAACCAGGGAGGAAATCTGTTTAAAAGGAGTGACATGATCTGGTTGTTTTGTTTTGTTTTGTTTTGTTTTTTGGTACCAGGGATCAAGGGGATCAAACTCGGGTCCTTTCACTTTTTCAGGCAGGCCAGGCAGGCGGGAGGCAGGTGGGCAGAACCACTGAGCTAAATCCCCAGCCCCAGTTGTTTTGTTTTGAGACAGGGTCTCACTATGTAGTTTGGGCTGGCCCTGAACTCACTATGTAACCCAGGCTGGCCTTGAACTCATGGCGATCCTCCTGCTTCAGCTTCCCAAATGCTGAGATTATAGGTGCACATCACCATGTGAAGCCCAATTTTTATTTCACATCAATATGATATCACTTAAGTACCTTTGCCCAATAAAAATACAGTGCAAATTTTTAAAATGCAAGCTACCTAATAATTTTAAGTGTTCACTTAGCCTCACTGAAAAGTGGGTGACATTAATTTTAATATATTTTATGTAATAAAGTGTAATGTGTAATATATATTTAGGTAATAAGTGTAATTTAACCAAATATACATAAATTTCAATAAGTAAGCAAGGTAAAAATTATTAAGAAGAAGGGCTGGGAATTTTGCTCAGTGGCACTGTGCCTGCCTCGCAAGCAGAAGGTCCTGAGTTTGATCTCTGATACCAAAAAACAAACAAACAAAATTATTAAGATATTTTACCTTTTTCATACTAAATCTTCAAAATCCAGGATGTATTTTACTCTTAGAGTACATCACAATTTAGACTAGTCACATTTAAAGTATTCAGTGGCCACAAGTAGCTGGTGACTACTTTACTAGATAGTGCAGCTTTAGAGCCTGCACTGTTGATGGTGTGATTAGAATGAGGTAGAAATGAGGAAGAGTCTATTGGATTAGACCCAGTGAAAAATGGTGAGGACTTGAGCAAAAAAAATGATGTAAATAGAACTTTAAAAAAATGGTTTCTGGGCCAGGGATTTAGCACAGTGGTTTTGCTGCCTGCTGCGCAAGCGCAAGGACCCGAGTTGGATCCCTGGTACCAAAAAAAAAAAAATGGTTTCTGGGTAGTCTTACACAATGGTTTTTTTTAATCAGCATTCGATTTTAGGACTCATCTATATTGACATAAGTAGCTATAGTTCCTAGATACTTTTTGCTATATAACTTTGCATTGCAAGAATATACTACTGTATCTTACCAGTTTTCCTGTTGCTTTTCCCCTTCCTAATTTGATATTATAAACATCATCGCTGTAAACATTCATGTATGTGTCTCTTAGTATTCTAAGATTCTCAGAGATCTATAGACTAGTAGATTTCTTATTTTATTTATTGATTTATTTATTATAAATAATTTTCACCTAGTTTGTAGCTTGCTTTACATTCAAAAGCTAATTTTTTATTTTTAAAGTCTTTTTTCTGTAGTTGAAATTAATCTGTTAGTATTTTTTTTTAATGTTAAATTCTTTCTATTTGACTACATACTTTCCTGTTTTGTTTTTTGTTTTGGAGACAGGTTCTCACTTTGTAGCCCAAGCTGGCCTTTAATTTGCAGAAGTTCTCCCGCCTCAGCCTCCCAAATGCTGAGATTATGGGAATATGCCACTACACCTAGCAGATTTTACTTCTTAAAGATTTTACATTTAAGTTACATTTATTGAACAACCTTTCCTTGTATTTGTTGTTTGTTAATGCCCAATAAATTGTCCTCACTGAGCATCTTAAAACAAGACATTTGTCATCTCAGTTTCTATCAGGTGGAATCTGAGAGTGGCATGGCAGTATGGTTTCCCTTGAAGTTGCAGTCAAGCTACTGACCAGGCTTGCAGTTGTCACCAGGCCTGCATCTCTCTCATGTGACTGGCAGGCCACAGAGGTTGCACTTCTACGCTCAGGCATGTGGTTGCTGGTGGTCCATACCTCGTGGATCTCTCTATAAGTTGCTTGAGTATCCTTCCAACATGGCAGCTGGCTTCCCTCAGATAGTGAGTATGTGGAGCTTAAAAAAGGAAGACAGAAGTTTCAGTCTTTACATCTTATATCAGAAGACGTCCATTTCTTCTACCATACTCTTCTAAAGGCAAGGCACTAGGTCCATTCCACACATACAGAAAGGGAAATTATGCTCCACCTCTTGAAAAGAGTTGTCTCAGTTTATGAACATATCTTTAAAATCACCATATGCTTCTCCTCAGTAATCTGCAATGCCAGCCCTGTTAGATATAATTTCTCTATACACACTAATCCACTTCTGGCCTATTTTGTTCTGTTGGTTCAATTTGTATATCTCATTTTGTTTGTTTTTCTTTAGTTTTGTTTTTCCTAACCCTAAAAGTGAGTTTCTAGCCAAAACTCATTTCCTGGTGTTTTGTTTTCATGTATATTTATTCTGAGAGTCTATCCATTCTTGTATCTTTATCTACGGATTCTTAACAAAAGACCCCAGACTATGTGCTGGACATCACCTCAAACTCATATCTGTAACCAGATTGTTTTTCACATATCTCTCCTTTATGGGGAAAAATTACCTCAGTAGTTACTATGATATTGATTATGGCATACAAAACTCAAGACCCTAGAATACTTTATTAGAGGCACTAATATAAAGTGTGTTAACTTTTCTTTACTACAACATACGTGAGATAAGTTTTTTAACAGTAAGAATGATTTCTTTTGGCTTATGACATCAGAAGTGCAGTCCATGATAAGTTGGCCTACTTGCTTTTGGACCTGTGATAAGGCTACACATCTGCATTGAATTTTATCTCCCACCTCCTGGGGGTTGTAGCCTTGAGCAAACAGTTCCTGACCTCTTCAAGATTCTGTTCTAGGGGCAAAAAAACACTAAGCATGGTGTAAGGCAGCGATAAAATTATGATGGAAGCGAAATAGAGCAGCGAGCAGGTGGAATAGGTACCGCAGTGGTGTGGGTTCTGTTCCTTATAATGTGGGGAGGGAAAGCCCACTGGTAAGATCATTTTGGAACAAGGAGTGGTGAGTTGATGTATTAAACTATGTGTTCAGGGAGAGGAAAGAGCCATTAGGAAAGCCCTGATGGAGAAGTTTAAGAAGTAGCAGGGAAACAATTTTGTGTAGAGATATGAGGCAAAGGAAAAAGCAACTTGGGGTAAAAAAATATTAAAGGAGGAAAGGATTCTATATGAACTTTATGTTTTTTGAGAGAGAGATTCCAGAAACCATTGCAGGGGTTTGAGGAAAGGATAAAGTTTTCTAGAATTAGTTTTTAAAAGATAACCGTGGCTGTTGTGCCCATAATAGACTGAAATTGGAGCAAGGACAGTAGCAAGAAGGTCATTTAGAAACCTATTGCAAAATTCAGGCAAGAAGTGGTGGTTTAGATCAGGCTGTGGTGGTCAGATTCCAAATATGTTTTGAAAATAAGAGCCATTAGCTTTTGCTAAAGGATCAGGTCCTCAGTTATATTATGGACATTATAATATATTAGACTCATAGTTGTAGATGTTACATAGTATTTGAGTCCTCATTTACAGATACTATAATCTGGGTTTTTAACTTTGTTTAGGAGAAAATTTAGAAGGCAAATAGAAAAGAAATCCAATCTTTTATCTTCTGTTGCCTTGAGAGGTGACCACTGTTAAAATTTTGGTGCAAGACCTTTCTAGATTTTATTCTACATATACAAAGATGTAGAACATGTACAGTGCATTGTTTAAGCAAACTGTATGTGTGGTAGCCATTTTTCTATATTATTAAATAATCCCCCAACATTTTACATCTTTATGGTCCTTTATATGAATGAACTATTGTTTGTTTCCCTGTCAACATTTAGGAGGCTCCCACGGTTTTTTTCCCCTTTTATAAATACCATTTGAGAGAAGATCGTAATTCTTTTAAGCATCTGCATGATCGGGAGAACAATTTTCCTGTTACTTCACAGCTCCTGAAGTAACATCTCTTCACTCCACATGATTTCTCGCCTTTACAGTTTACCAGTATTGTGGTTCCAAATAAAAATAATCTCTAATTTGCCCTTTTTTATTTTGATACTAATAAATGAGTCTTCTCTGAATTTCATACTACTTAGTAGATACATTCATGTATGAGAGAATGACATATGGACTGGAATATAAATTTCTCTGTTCCACTCAAGGGAAAATAAAATGACATTTGTTGAGATTTGGGAAAAATTTTTTAAATACTTTTTACTATACATTTAGTTTATGATTAGCAATTTCTAGAATGTTATTGAGCCAGGTTTTGAGAGTCAGTCTACTTGCTGTTTTAATGACCTTTGTTTTGAATACAGTAATGCTTCTTTTTCTTTCTTTTTTTCCCATACTTTATGTAGATTGCTGCCATTTTCTCTTTTGCCACCTGTGGGGGTTTTAAGGGCAAAACAGAAATTCTAGTGAGTTGTAATGGGACTAAGAATGAAACTGTTACGGCTACTTTTGGTTATCCATTCAGGTGAGTGAGTAGTTTTTATGAATTAACAATTCTTTTTACTTTCATATTGAGTCATTTATTTTCAACAATTTATTATGTAGAGGATGTTATAAAATTTCTGATTTCCTGCTCAGTTTTAATTTTTGCTACTCAAACCATAGAACAGAGACCAGTACCTGTGCACAAACTTTTCCTAGTCTGTGTTGAAATAAATGCAGCAGCTGACAATAACCATTTACAAACTTTGATGATAATATTACATTGCCTTGGCATTTTTATCTTATCATTCCAGGGTGGATTGAAAATGAAAAATAAAGACTAGTCTCGCTTTAGTGGGAGAAACCCTAATAGAGACACAAAAATGTAGATTTTTCATGTTTTTGCAGTTATTGAATGTTGTTCTTTATGTAGCTTTTAACATGTGTATTTATATAAAGAATTCCTGTTTTCCCTAACATAAAACCATACTTTCATAATCTCTTTTTTTTCTTTTTTCTTTTCTGGGTTTTTTTTTTTTTTTGGTACCGGGGATTGAACTCAGGGCCTTGGAGACAGGCACCGTGCCATTGAGCTAAATCCCTGACCCTCTTTTCTGTTTTTGAGACAAGGTCTCACTATGTAGTTGAGGCTATCTAGCCCTGACCTCAGCATGTATTCCTCAAACTCCAGGTGATCCGCCTGCCTCAGCCTCCCAAGTGCTGGGATTACAAATATACACCACCACGCCTAGATCTTACTCTTAAATAAGTATGAGCATTTAGGGGCCGGGGATTTAGCTCAGTGGCACTGCACCTCATAAGTGCAAGGTCCTGAGTTCAATTCCCGGTACAAAAAAAAAAAAAAAGAATAAACATTTAGTTTTTGCAGTCTTCATTGCTATGTTCTGTGTTTAAGCTGATACATGAATCTTCTTCCACTTAACTTACTTGACCTAAGACTCAGTTTTTCTGTCCAATAAATTGAAATTTATTACCTTTTAAAGATTTTTTGATATTCAAATAAAAACTTATCTATGTCAGGTACTGAGTACTAACTAATCATCAAAGCCTTTCTATGTGCTATCCCTTCTGTATAATTCTGGAATCTGTTACCAGCATCTTTAGTGATAAGTGCTTTTGCAATTTATGGATGGGGAAAATTAGAGACAGTGTGATTTTTCAGATAACAACTAATCTAAGGTTTAAAATGTGAATCATTGTTATAATTGGCTCTCCTAGGGAAAATCACACAGACTGCCTTCTGGAATAGAAGTGTCTCAAACTGTAAAATATTCGGTATGAGCCCACCTAATCTGCTAGTTTGTTCAGTTGCAGAAAGGTAGTGTCTTAAGTGTGAAAGTTTGTAATTCGGTCTATATTCAATCTGTCATAATCCACTTACCAGATAAAATGTTAGGTATATTGTGAAAATTTTAGTTTAATTAAGTATTTCAATTCTCATTTTTTAAAAAAAGAAAATGTTTTTAATATCAGGGAGTATTTTTTGAAATGTCATTTCAGTATTCTGCTTAATATTCTGTATCTGTTGGAGAGCCCAGTAATTCATACATTTACTTGAGCCTTTTTTTAATAGGTTGAATCAGGCATCATTTCAGTCACCTTCAAGTGTTTGTGGTGTAGATTGGAAAAGACATGTCCTCATAGGAGATTACTCCTCTTCTGCACAATTCTATGTTACATTTGCAGTCTTTGTATTCTTATACTGCATCGCCACCCTCCTGCTTTATGTTGGTTACACAAACCTGTACCGGGATAGTCGTAAACTTCCCATGACTGTGAGTAAGCACTTTATTTCTTTTTATAGGAAAGTAATTTATATGAGTGTACATGTTACGTTTGAAGCTAAGTATAGGTATTTTTACTAGATATCAGAATTCTTGACGTAAGTTAAACATATTTTGGTGTGTGTGTGTTTATGTGTTGTGAAGTTGAGCTTTCTGTCATTATTATGTTTAACCCAATTCTTTAAGTTCACTGATTATTCCAGAGAAAGATTTTTTAACCTGGAAAAACTCAAAACAGGTGATAAATCTTATTAAGTTTTAAACAGAAAAATTAAGTAGAAATTAATGCCTTTAATTTGAAGAATTGCAAATCATACCAGCAGTGTTCCACCTCCTGACCTTTTTTTAATCTTTCTTCAAAGGCCCTCTTTATGCCTTTACAATATTTTATTGAGTTTAATTGTCTATGGCAAGGATTAGCAGATTATGGTCCACAGATCAAATCTGACTCACTTCTTTTTTTAAAACAATGTTTTGGGAACATGGTCATACTCACCCTTTATACACTGTCCATGCAGCTTTCTTGCTAAAACTACTTAATTTCAATGTAACCCAGATAACTCTTATATTTAGCATTAATGGCATCCATGAGTGATTTTGGATCTTTGAGATGCCAGCAGAGGATTTGGATTTGAAATCCTGATACCCTTCATGGCTTCAGGACTCACTGAACTACAAATAAAAGTGTCTGAGATTCAAGGAATAGACTTTGCCCTAGATTATCAGTGGTAAATCCAGAGATAAGCTATGATTGCAAACTGTGCTTTCACTGTAAAAGAGTAACTTCAAAGTCAGTATTAACTTGAAGCGAAAACAGGTATTTTTGTGATACTAGTTACTGATGTCTGCTAATTACTTTTATGTCCCTTAAAGGGAAAACTATCTAAATATGAAGAAATTATTAAAGCTTTATTTACTTATTTATTTTTAATTTTTGCTGCCTGGATCATAAAGAACGCAAAGGGTAAGTAAGGAATAAGTTAGTCTTTTAATGTGCAGGTTTATAGACATTTTTCTAAAATATTTCTTGGTTGTTAAATGCCTTTCAAAAAGATGGGCATAAGTTATTTTAATTTGCAACGGTTATTCAACAGGAGTTATATTTTATGAATCTATATCTTCTTTAGACTTCCCAAGCTTTATTTTTAAAAGGGCCGAGGATGTAACTCGGTGGTGCCACACCTGCCTTGTGAGTGTGAGGTCCTGAGTTTGATTCCTGGTACCAAAAAAATAATAATAAAATTAAAAATAAAAAGGGACTCTGGTGATCATATAGATAATTATATCTCATTAAAATTCATTAGAAGATGTTTCTTGTCAGTATTTCAAAAAAATTTTAAATAAAATTTTGTCTAATAAACTTTAAAAAATACTATACAGTACTTTTTTTTTTTTTGGTACCAGGGATTGAACTCGGGACCTTGCACTTGCAAGGCAGGCAACAGAACCACTGAGCTAAATCCCTGGCCTTATACAATACTTCTTAAAGCAGCATTTACATCAGTTTTGGAGAGGGTTTCTCTCTCTGTTAAAACTATAAAACTGATGTAGTTGCATCATCCTGGAAGTGAAAAGTAATTTTCTATTTAAGAACGGTCAGTTAGTGGTCATATAAAGAGATTCTAGAACTGGTTCCATAAATGTTTTTGTTATAACATGTAGTGAATGCTTCTTATTTAAGTTTTGAATTCTTTTAATTAACCATGTAAATATAAAGGGTTTTTTTTAAAGATACCCAGATTTTTAAATATAACATTGATTTTTAGGGGCTGTTTATTAACAAAGATATGCTCTTTCAGCAGTATTCTCAATTCTGTGCTAAGGTATTCCCAGGAGTATTTCAACTGTGAAATTTTAAATCTACTTCAATTCTCTTTTAAGTAAATACAGTACTGTGTGCGTGTGTGTGTGTGTGTGTGTGTGTGTGTGTGTGTCTGTCTGTCTGTCTGTCTGTCTTAAGTAGCAGATGCTTAAGGCTTCTAAGCAATATGGAATCAGGAATACAGGAAAATGAAGCCAAACAAAATAGGAAGATATCCCCAATTTTAAAACTTTGTAATGAACCATATCCTAACTTACTGGTGGGAGCGGGGCTGCCCTTGGCAACTGCAGTTTTGTATGATGGAATTCCAGGTTTCACTTAGATTGCAGCGTGACTATAGTCCCGAGTAGAACAGATACAATCTACAGGGACCAGAATAATCCCTCGCTTTCCCTCACTCTCTTTTAATTTTGTGCATCATTTTCAGAAAATTTCCTACTTTTGAAATATAAGGAGGTCATGCCTTAAGCTATTAGCAAAGTAGACTTGAAGAACATAGTAGGAAGGTGAGGGAGGTAAGGAGGGAGACAGTGTAATTTTTAGTAAAGAATTTGGAAGGAGTACATGAGGATTAAAGGGATTTGACATAACATTGGTTGGAGGTATGATTTAGCCTGGAGGGAACTTATTTAACATTGTTCACCTTATTTATCAGTTCTCCAAAAGGCATTATATTTCTAGTAAAAACAGAAAATGTCTGCAGCAGAAGGTATAGCAGAGTACGGCACAGTGTTCCCACAGTGCGGAGAATGTCAGCTAAAGATATTTCTGTCGTTTGCTCTTTGCTCTTCATTTTTTAAGAAGAGCTCAAATGCAAAAAACGTGGATACCTGCATGCTTGTACAAGTGGCATTTGTTTTTGAATCACAAGGTATTCAGCGCTATCTTGACCAAGTGGGCAAGCTGTATGGCATGTCTTCTGTATCTCTTAAGAGATTACTGATGTTTATCCTAAATAAATGACTTTTTAAAGGTGTCTCGCAAAATACTAAAATCTAAACCCGTATTTAAAAAGCAAAATACTTCAGTGATAAACCCTAAAAGTGTCTGCACTTAGAAAGATTTTTGCCACAGATATGAGCCCCAAGTGTACCCATCTGCTTCGCATAGCAAACCTATAAACCTATAGACTGGGTATTATTCCCACTTTGGTCACTGAATTTCCAGAAGACCAAACAAGGCATTATACTGTATGTTGTACAGATAGATGTTTAAACTGTTACTTAGATCATTGTCACCATTATTACTGGACAGAATTTTGTTTCCCCAGCAGAGAAGATTAAGGAGAATAATTTCCCCCTTTTTCATCTCTTTGGTTTAATAAGAAACTATTCCAGATATTAAAACTTTTCATTTTACTCTTAGAAATGTAATAAATAACAAAGGATTTAGTAGGACATTACTAGTAATAAGGTGTCTTGGGACATTTTTGGGGTTTTCGGGGTTTTTTGTCTTTTTATTTATATGGTGAGGTTCTTAAAATTCATAGTCACGAATTTTTTTAAAACCTGGTTGTATTCTTTGGATCTATCATCTTATTGCCCATCTCATGGAGAATTAGACTTAATTAAAGTTAGGATTTTACCAAAACAGTATGAGGAAGTAGGAGAAAGATAAGGGCATATGCAAGGGAATAACAACCACATGAGAACATGAGTGAAGGTGAGACAGTAAAAAAGTGGTAGGGTCAGTGGCCGGGGATTTAGCTCAGTGGCACTGCGCCTGCCTTGCAAGCGCAAGATCCTGAGTTTGATCCCTGGTACCAAAAAAAAAGTGGTAGGGTCAGATTGTAGGTCTTAGTGGATCAGGACTTTGGAGATTGGGATGCCAGAGAATGAGGGGGAAGAGGTGCTGTTAGAGAGTAGGTGATCCAAAGAGGTTTATGGAAACACAGTTACTGGTGATGACAGGGTCTACGGTTTGATTTTGGAAGTAAGACTATGGCAAGAGCTATGGAACACTTTGGTTTCTACTGTAAAAATTATAAGACTCCAGAAGAAATGAGTCTTATTAACTCTTGTATCTCAGGTACTATGTTGAGTGTGATCTTTTAATAATTTTAATAATATAAAAGCCATTTCTTAGTACCATAAAGTTAAATGTAACCTATTTCTTCATTGTGGATTTAAAATTGAGTGTTTTTAAATTGACCGTTTATTATTACTACTTTTGTTTTAGGACTTTGTTGTTACTGTTGTTGCCACTTTTTTGTGGTTGGTGAGCACTTCAGCCTGGGCTAAAGCTCTTACAGATATTAAAGTAGCTACAGGTCCCAGAATTGTTCAGGAGCTTCTGCCTTGTAAACAGTCACCAACAGCGTGTCATTTTGGCTCTGTGACAAGTATGGGATCCCTAAATGTTTCTGTGGTATGTATGCTTAATTTGTACAATTTTTAATTTTTGATGATTAGAAAAGCTGTAACTTAATAAATCTCTGGATGAATATATTGGTTTTTATTTGTACTGAGCTATCAGGATCCTAGTTATGATATAATGTTTACTATTATGACTGAAGAAAATTTGTTAAGAAATTATCTGTGAACAGGTTTGACCAAGATCTGCTTGAGTCATGTTTCACCAAAATTGACAAAGTACAACTTTTCGTTTGGTTTTTTTGGTACCGGGGCTTGAACTCAGGACCTTGCGCTTGCCAGGCAGACACCGGAACCACTGAGCTAAATCCCCAGCCTCAAAGTAGGACTTTTGCTTGAAAGGCACTGATCATAATCACTAACTTTTGTTGAAATTATGTGCCAGGCATTTGCTATCGTATCTTAATTTGTATAACCATCTTAAAAGGAATGTGGAAGCTGATATTCCCTTCAAATATGGTAAATCATCCAAGGGACACAACTAGTAAATGGCATGCCAAAGTTTGGACCAGATCTGACGTTAGGGCCTGCCGTATAAATGTGACTTAATCAGGGTAAATGAAAACACTAGTTCCATGGTTTTTTAACTCTAAAATTTAGTCTTTATTGAGTATTACTTTGTCTGCTACTTTAACAAAATATAGTTAAATTTATTGTTAAAGGTATTGTAAATATACTGCATTGTATTATGTTTCGGGAGGTCTCATGTCTTTTCAAGAAAAATGTCTTCTCAGTAGAAGTCAGTACTGCCTTATAAAGCAGTTGGCCCAAATTTTTGTTTTGTAACTTTGTGATTTAGAAGTCAGTAGATTTATATTGATAGTGCTTTGAGCTGAACATTTTCAGAAATGTTTTTGTATATAAATACATAAAAAGATAAAGCATTTGTCCTTTAGTAATATAGTCCTTTACAAATACTATTGTATATATTTATAAAGGACTCTGTTAAAATGAAGTAGCTTCAGCTTATTCATCTCACACTTTACCTAGTCAGAAGATATGTGAGGAGAGTAATTTCTTTGGCATTGATCAGTGCAGGGTGGGAAGTAAAGCTCTTCTAGATAGCTGTTGGGTTGAAGTAGAGGAAGTGGCACTGGGGGAGACAGGAGGGAAATAGGAAAAGGTACACAAGGGCAGCTTGTAACAATTCCAATCAGGAGAAAAGTGGGAAAGCCCCAAAGGAGGAAACCTGGAGAGCTAAACACAAAGTAATACAAGGAGACTTTCAGCGTTCTTTTTTTTTTTTTTGGTACTGGCGATCGAACTCTGTGCTTGCAAGGCAGGTGGCGGAACCACTGAGCTAAATCCCCAGCCCTGCGTTCTTTTTTTTTTTTTTTTTTTTTTGATACCAGGGATTGAACTCAGGACCTTGCACTTGTGAAGCAGCCGGCGGCACCACTGAGCTAAATCCCCAGCCCTCAGTGTTCTTATTTTAATCCCATATTTTTTATAACAGTGAGCATCCAAAAATAAAAATTTTTAATCATGACTTTTCTGTGTTACAGATTTAGAGATTTAGCTGTATTTAGTTGGGAATAAGTCACATGTCCAAATTTTATGTGTTCAAATACAGTCTTTTTTATTCTACTTTGTATATAGTATTAAACATTAAATGAAATAAAACGATGTACTGCCTAAAGTTGTTAAAAAGTAAACTGTTTAAGCATGTGATTTACACATTTACTTTTCTCTTTCATAGATCTTTGGCTTTCTGAATATGATACTGTGGGGAGGAAATGCTTGGTTTGTGTACAAGGAGACCAGCTTACATAGTCCCTCAAATACTTCTGGTTCCCATGGCCAAGGAGGGGCTGCTCCTCCTCCTGGAATATAATTCCAGGAGAAATACACTGAACCAAACCTGTGTCTGTACCATGACTTGTTGCCAACATCTTGAGAAGCATTTTTTTCTAATAAAAGTAATGCCTTTTTCAATAAATTGATGGGTTTAAAAATTTGCTGCTTTTTTACATAAAAATTGTGCCTTTCATAGACATTTAAGATGTAAATGTATTCTTGCATGTAAATTTGAAAGTTCAGGAGCTTCTTATGAGATGATACACGTTTTTAAATGAACAATAATTTCTTCACTAACCTGTTTTCCTTTCAAAGTGTTTACAACCTTAAGCCTTAGCTATATCTTTACTCAGAAAACAATTATTTTGTCATGTCATAATAGGAAAAAAATCTTTATTTGGAATACACACTACCATAAGTTTGTATAAATCATATACCTAAGACCTGTCTTTAAGAAAGCCTTAATTACATAAAATATATTTGGAAAAGACAGTTCAAATTTTGTCTGAACATTGTTCATGTTACAAAAATGTTTAATTGCAAAGACTGGGTATATGTTTTGTTTCTGTTTTTTTGGGTTTTTTGTTTTGTTTTCTTAAGTGACCTGCTGTGCTTAATAGTTATACTAAAACTGTGTTAGGACCAGGGACTTGGAAATGTCAAACAAATGTGTGGTTAATTTAGTACTTCTGTTGCATGAGGTCAGAGCTTTTATGCTGGTGGCTTAATAGGCTTGCTATGGAAGTAGAAAGAACACAGTTCACCTGGCTGCTTTTATATGGATAGGCATTGCTCTTAGAAATGTATCTGTTGGCTCTCTTGTTGCATATGCCATGTAAGTGCAGGTTGGGGCCTGGTCTTCTAAAAGGAGTAAAATAATACACCCCTTTTTTTGCAGACCTTATTCAGAGGGTTAAAAATAATTTAAGATTGCCTCTTTTGAAACCCTTAGCATTTAGAGTCAGTGAAATTGCTTCTCTGAGGTTAGCCTTGATATTGTGAAAATAAATGTGATTTGGATTTCATGTTTGTTAATATTCTTATTTTACCAATGGATGATTAAGAAATTATGCATCATAAAAGAGCTTAAGTGGGCCAGGGATTTAGCTCAGTGGTTCTGCTGCCTGTCTCGCAAGCGCAAGGTCCCAAGTTCGATCCCCAGTAGCAAAAAAAAAACACACACAAAAAAAACCATAAAAGAGCTTAAGTGAGCAATATTATGAGTATACTGTCTGTATTTGAGTATATTCTGCATAGAAAGCTTATCCATATTTTGTTTCCTAATCTTTTTATTTTACAGGGATCTAGACTATTATGTGATTGTTTATGTGAAGCACATCTTGCAATTGCCTTGTTTTTGTTGCCTTTATTCATGACAAAAATGTCAACATGAGAATGTATATGTTTTATGCAACAAAGTTAATAAAGAAACTGAAAGAGTGCACTGATTGTTGTATTAAAGAAAATCTTCATCTTAACTGCATGAGCAGTTCAAAGGAGAACTGATTTTCAAAGCAAGAAATAGAATTACAGGGCCAGGAGATTTAGCTCAGTGGTTCCGGCACCTGCCTTGCAAGCACAAGGTCCTGAGTTTGATCCCCACTACCAAAAAAGAAATAGAATTACAATAGTGTTTAAATGTTTGGCAAGGAATAAACAAAAATACTTTAAGCACTCTGCTTCTATTTCAGTCTCATTTTAAAAGCCCTTACTTGTAATCATCAGGCTAAGTTTTCCTAGTAACCTTTTTCTAATTGACTATTCAATTAGGCAGCTAATATTCCTGATTAAGAATATGTACTCTGGAGCCAAACTGCCTAAATTTGAGTCTTGTCTTCACCACTTACTACCGAGTTAACTAATACTGGATGCTGTTGGACTATTTGCCAGCCTGATAAATTTGAAATACAGTCTCTGATGTTTATAAATTTGTGTGTTTCTGATTTCTGTTAAGGTTGTCTGATATTTATTGGCCATTTTACTGCCCCTGTTCTACATTGCCTGTTTATACCCTGATTGCCAATTTTTTTGTTGTGGTCCTTGTCTTTTCCCTGTTGATTTAAGGAGCTTTCTATATATTCCTGATTAACCCATGATATTTATATAGGTTACAATCCCTGTCTATGACTGATCTTTCAGTTTTATGATTTTTATTGTACAAATTTTTTAATATTTAAGTATCTTCCCTATGGTTTCTGCTTCACTTACTTTGGTTCTCTTCTGAATATGTTTTTATTTTTCACTTAGGTCTTCAGAGCCACTAGGGAGTGTATTTTTTGGTATATATAGTTTGTGGCACGGGTTTATAATTTTCAGTACCTAGTTTTCACAGTGCCATTTATTTTAAAGTTCATCTTTTATTTACCTCTGTCATATATCAAATTTCTTATTCGTACCCCTTTCTGTATGCCTTGTCACAGTACCATATGTAGCCCTATCACCCTTTAAGTATAGCTTTGCAGTGTGAATTCCTGTCACCCAGGGTTGGAACACAGCAGTGTCATGATTTACTGTTATACACAGTTGGGGCTTTTTTTTTTTTAGTTTGGGCCATCTTGAATCATTATACATTACTCTCATAAAAGTTTTAGAATCAGCTTGTCAAATTCCTACAAATCTTTGTGGATTTTCATTTATAAAGAATACTGAATTTATAGATCAATTTGGGGAGAATTGTCATATTTAAAATGCTGAGGCTTTGTATTTATAAAAATGGTGTCTCCATTTATATCTTTTATGCCTTGCAATAAAGTTTTATAATTTTCTACTAAAGTTATAAATTTACATCTTTTAGCTTTTGTTGATATTATACATAGTAACATTTAAATTATATTTTAAATTAAATTATAATTGTTTATTAGTGGCATACAAATACCTCTGGATTTTTATCTATTGATATTGATAGAAATATGAAACATCCTTTATCTTTTCATTATTTTTTAAATAATATGTAGATTCTCCTATTTTTTATGTGGATAGTATTGTCCACAATATCGGTAGTTTTTTTTTCTTTAATTTTGAAGTTAAACTCTTCTGTTACCTCTCTCTGATTACATAATAACTGGCATTGAAATCTATGAAAAAAGAAAATGTAAAGTTACTTGGCAATACTGTACTATAAACTTTGTTTAAATACAGCATGTGAAGCCACAAATTTATACCACATTGTATGTTGTTTCATATGTAAAATTTGATCAAATCCTTTTTTGGCTGGGGGGGACAGGGTCTTGCTATTTAGTCCAGGCTTGCCTTGAACTGTGTAGCCCAAGCTGGTCTGGAACTCATGGCAATCCTCCTGCCTCAGCCTCCTGAGTGCTAGGATTACAGGTGTGCACCACCACACCTGGCTTCAAATCAATTCTTATATTGTGGAGCAAATTAATAGAAAATGCCACTCTGATCAAAATAAGATAATACTATTATGTATTATAACCGTCATACAGAGTTTTCCTATGTGAAATGAAGGTGTCATGAAGGTCACAGTCTTCTGAGGTTTTTAAGAGAGAACCGGTTCTTGCCCTTTTCAGCTTCTGGTGGTTGCTGGCTGGCTTGCTTACCCCACACAATTCCATCTCCACTCTGTCTTCACATCGCCTTCTTATGTTCTCTATAAAGTCTTGCTTTGCCTTTCTATGGACAGTGGTCATGGCATCCAGGGCCCACTGGATTATCCAAAATAATCTTAGGATCCCTCATTGCATCTGCAAAGAACTTTTCTTCAAATAAGGTAATATTACAAATTCAAAGGTTGAAGATTTGGTATTTTGAGGTGGCCAAATGTACCTACCATACTGTTCAAAATAATTTTATTACTACATATAAAATACACGAAAATGTATAGTTCTCAGGCCAAGAAACTTTCCCAGTGCTCTTAAAAGTCTCAGTTACCCTCCCTGATTCCCAATTCTAAATATTGTACTAATCTCTTCCCTTTGTTTTGTACCTTTTAGTATCTTAATACTGTATGTGATTTTAGTTGTTGCCCTTTTAAGTTTAAAATCAAAATGTTTGCTGTTTTTTAAAAATCTGATCCATCTTGATGGACTTAGTAGTTTCATTGTATAAATGTACCATAATTCATGTATCTCTTAGTGATGGTCATTTGGATTGTTTGGGGCTTTTGTTTTGGTTATTTTTTTTTTTTTTTTGGTACTGGGGATCAAACTCGTGTCCTTGCGATTGCGAGGTAGGCAGTGGAACTACTGAGCTAAATCTCAGGCCCTGGGGCTTTTGTTTTTATGAAACAATACAGTGGACTTGCTGAGAATAGATATGCATGTTTAACTTTTGGCATGCCAAACCATTTCTCAGAATAACTATGCTTATTTATACTCCCTTTAGTAATGGATAACCGGCCCCATTGTTGCATTGTCTTATCAAGACTTAGCATTGTTTTATTGTTTAATTTTAATTTTTAAAATTACTGTTTAATTTTTGCCAATTTGGTGAATATGAAATGTTTCATACTACTTTTAATTAACTAGCTTAAACATTTCTTTGTTTATATTCTTCCTGTGAACTTACTGTTTTTGTCTTCTACTTTTTTCGCAATGCTTGGTTATAGTTCTGTAATCCTCTGGTACTGTTCCTATGGTTATGTATGTCATAAATACTGTCTCCCAAGCCCATATAATGAGTCATGAAGTATTTGCCCTTATTCTATACTCTGAAAAAATTTGTGTAAGATAAGAATTTTGAATTCACCATACCATTGAGGTCTAGGATCCCATTTGTGAGATTATTTTAAAATTACTGATTCAGTATTTGCACTTTGTGCATGCGCATGTGCACACGTGTGTGTGTGTTACCCAGGGCCTTCGCACTGAGCTGCATCCCCAGCCTTTTGCATTTCTAATTTTGAGACAGATCTTTCTGAGTCTGAGTTGCTCAGTGCTCAGGCCAGGCTCAAACTTGGAATCCTGCCTCAGGCTCCAGAGTTCTGAGGTTACAAGCATGTGCCACCACACTTGGCCTGATTCAGTCCTGTGATTATGAGACTGGATTTTTATTCATTAATCATATTTTTCCAGAATTTTTCCATTTCATCTGAGTGTTCCAATTTATTGCATGAAGTTCATAAAGCCTGCTACATTCCTAATATCTGCAGCATCTGCAGTCATGTTTTTTCTTTCATCCTTATTAATTTTGTGCCTTCCATTTTTTTTATCCATATTGCCAGCTTTGAGTTTGATCCATCTTTTCAAAGGATCAAGTTTGACTTTGTCTTCATTATTTGATATTTATTTAGTTCAGATTTTTTGATATGTAGTATTTTTTCATGGTTCTCAATATATTTGAATTTCCCATCATAATTCTTTGATCCATGGTAGCATAATAATGTGCCCAAATAGGATTGTCTAAGGGTTTTGTTCATTGCTTGCTTGGTTGGTTGGCTTCTTTGTTTTTGTTTTGACTACCAAGTTAGCTACTTTGTGGTCTCTGTAATCTTAAGAGTTCCTGAGACTTGCTTTTTGGCCGAGTTTGTAGTCAAAATTTTTAACCACACATGTATCATAATGACATTTCCATCAACAGTTCACATATATTATGGTATACACCAGATAGCCACAGTGTGTAAGGCTGTGCTATCTAGGTTTGTGTGTGTCTTGCTCTGTTTACACAATGAGGAATTGCCTAATAATGCATTTCTCACCATCCTTAAGTAATGTGTGATTATATTTCATATGTGTGGATGTATATTCCATTTATAGAGTTCTGCGTTCATCTGTTATATCGGGTTATTATATTGCTTAAAGCTTCAATATGTTAACTGAAACACATGTAAAATAAGGATACAATGCATTGAAAATAAAGTGAAGACAAAAATACATCCAGTAAAACAGGCTTACCTGTTTGCAGTTGCTCAGCTTCTTAAATTTGGAGGGTTATGTCTTTGCCAAGTTTGGGGAGTTTTCAGCCATTATTTCTTCCAGCACATTTCTGCCCCGTTCTCTTTCTCCTTTCCTTCTAGGCCTTGAATCATATGAATATCAGATTTTTTTCAGAGAGTCCCACAAGTCTCTGAGACCCATTCCTTTTTTTTAGGCAGCCCTTTTTTTCTCTAGGTATTAGATGATTTCTATCCTCTAGCTCAGATTTCTTTCCTCTATGTCTTGCACTGTTGAGTTGATCCATTGAGTTTTTGGTTATATAATTTCTTTAAAATTTCCATTTGGGGGCCAGGGATTTAGCTCAGTGCTTCCACCACCTGCCTTGCAAGCACAAGGTCCCGAGTTCGATCCCTGGTACCAAAAAAAATAAAAATAAAATTTCCATTTGATTCTTTTATTTAATGAGACTCTTTGCTGGGATTATTTTCTCATTGGCTTCAAGCATGATCATAGTTGCTTCTTGAAGCATTTTTATATGGTTCATTTTTATATGACATCAGATAATTGTAAAATCTGTGATGAATCAGTGCTGTCATCCTTTGTCACCTGTTTG